ATCCATTCTGCTGGAATTGTAAACATGTTGTGCTTTCGATCCCGTGGCCTCAGGTACTCTGACTTAGAAATCCAATTTCCTTTCCATCTTTTGTTCTTGTGGCGGTGTTTAAAACTGAGCATGCAAACTGAAAGGCGGCAAGAGACTCAGTAGTAAACCACGATTGCCTGTAGAGATGACACAGATCAGCCCTGTTCTAGAGACCACCATATTTCTGCACACTTCACTTCCAGTTCTGTGAGTAATCCTTTAAGGGATAGTTCACCCCAAAAATGTATTATTTACTCACCATTCACTGTCCTTCAAGTGGGTTCTTAACTTTATGGGGTCTATTTTGACGGTCCATGCGCAGAGCGCAAAACGCAGGGCGCAAACGATTTCAGAGCGTGTCAGAACGCATTTTTGCTAATTTACGGACGGGAAAATGCACTTTGCGCCGCGGCGCATGGTCTAAAAGGGTTGAGTTTATTTTCTTAATGAGTTATAGGTGTGTTTTGAGAATAAACCAATCAGAGTCTCATCTCCCATTCCCTTTAAGACCCAGCTGCGTCGTGCCAAGAGCGCATTCGCTATTTACAGGATGCAAAGTAAGTCTAAGTGGAAAAACTGAGCATTTCACCAGCAAACAGTTCACAGTTTATTAACAGAAAACAGTTAAACAGAGCATCTACTGCATGAGAATGAGAGATAATCGCTTAATTTCACATTCACTCTTGGATAGGGAAACCTTTACGCACAGACATCAATTAGTCTATAAATAAATACTTTCATTTGTTAAGCGCAAATATTTGTGTCAAAACTATTTCTAAATTCAGTTCTAATTTCCAGCAAACGAATAAATAAACAATAATACCGAAGTGTGTGAGTTATTTCCAAATACACCTGCCATGCCCCATATGGTCTAAAACCTGACAGGTGGGCAAATCTAAGCTTGTTTTTAATAAAACAAATATAAATATGGATATAATAAATAATACTGCTAATAATGATAACATTATACAAAAGCAAATTGTCATGAATGAACTGAAAAAGCCTCCCGAGATGAAGGCATAAAAGCAGTGATTTTTCATATTTATAGGCTAGAAAATAATGTTTTGTAATATTTTAATCCTTTATATTTATATTCTATATCTATTCTTATTATATCCTATATATATCCTTAATATTTAATTTTTTCATATGTAAAGATATTTGCCTATTGCTCTCTTGTGTGTATTAAGCAGTGTGTAAGCGAGGCGCAACTCTGCGCTGGAGTTTAGACCGGGTTAGTTTTGGTCTAATGAAAAATCTATTATAGTTTCTCAAAATAGCGACGCGCCAGCGGTCCGCCTCAGAACGCCTTCCTTTATAGACCAGAACGCCTATGTGCGCACAAATGAGCGCTAATGCATTTGCTATTTAAACAGCGTAGCGCAACACCTCAAAACCACTCTTGCGCCAAGCTGAAACTACCAAAAGACTATTGCGCTGCGTCTTGCGCCACACTGCGCCGGGTGTATGATAGGGCCCTAAGAGTATCTATTCTTTCATCTATCTAACATAAAATAAGATATTTTGAAGAATGCATTTACATGGTAACCATTAATTTCAATATTAGGGAAAAGATAATACTTTGGAAGCCAATGTCTTCCCCTTTAAAACAAGGTTATTATAGTTAACGAAAACGAAAGAAAAAACTGAAAAAATAAAATTTTAAATAATTAACGTTAACCCTTAAAGACCTAGAGGTATTGTGTGGGCACCAAATGGGCCTATATACGTTTTTTTTTTTTTATTATTTATTTTATTTATTTTTTTAAAGCAGTTTAATTGTTATTTTAGCAGTCAGCCTCAAGTGTCATATATTATTTTAAACAGGAGAACCTGAAGCTTCAATCTGTATCATTTAAAGGTCCAGTCTAAAATATTTTTTTGGTCCAAAAACATATGAACAGACAGAAAATGTTCCAGAATTTTAATAAAAACGTTTTTTTAAAAAGTGGCATTTTCTAGTTATCACAAACAAAACCTCATGAAGTTTTTTTTTTTTGTCTTTAGAAATACGCTATGCTGATTTATGCTTTCAAAATAAATTTTGTCTTCATCCACCTTTCCCTGAGCAAGTTATAGCAATTTATTTCAATGTTATTCTAAGGCGTTTTTCAGTGGGAAGAAACTAGCGCATTTATTTACTGACAGTGTATTTGCCCAAAAGTTCTGGGATGAACTAAACAGAAGGACTGTTACACAATAACAGAACACTGAAGCAAGTTTGACCAAATAATATATTTTCAGTTATCATAAACAGCAGCACTTACAATGAACAAATAAAAAATAAGAAAATAATAAATAATGCGTCAAAGTCCAAATAAACATGGTGCAAATCCTCAGTAAAAAAAATTGATGTAAATATTTACAATACTATAACTAGTTACATAACTAAACTAGATTCAATATGGACCATCCTTAGCTTTTATGTGCCAGCATGGACATGGTGTTGACCCTGCTGCTTCTGTACAGCCTATTTCTCATTCCGGGTTGTTCAAATAGCTGATTGCTGGTCCACAAAGCAAAACTTATGCTTATTGGTTGAGAGAGAGCGAGTTTGAACCAATCTGGGCATGGAGAAGGGACAATGCATCAATGCATCATGTCTGGTTCGTCCAGAGACACAAGCCACGAGCGTTCCTTTATAAAATCAGCGTTGTCAAAATGTGGTGACGTAACCACAATGATTCTGGAGCCTCCGAAGGTCCGGGTAATGTAATGTTATACAGCGATGGAAAGCTGAGACTTTCTTCTTTATGCCAATCTTTGAATTGTACGGATCGGATTAGCAAGTCAAAAGTTATTAAACATTTCAGAACAATACTTATTTTTAGCTGCGGGCGGCTGTTTTGGTCTTTAAGGGTTAAGAGTTCTCTATAGACCTTTTTCATGGCTGCTGCATGGAGGGCGCCATAACGACCACCGTCTTTCGGTAGAGTGCTAAAAACTTCCGTTTACAGCGTGTACAACTGGTAATTTGCGCTCCGACAATGGGTTTCAAGGACGTTTGTAATGGATAACAGAGTGTTTTTGTGTCACACAACTTAGAAATGTGTCTGTTAAAGCCGTTATAATCGGTCACATGTGGTTCAAGCGCATCAGAAATACGAGAAAAACGTTCTCCTAGTTCACGTGTCTGCCGTCAGAAATACACGCGCACACACACGCACAGAGAGAGAGAGAGAGAGCAAACCAGATTAGTGGCATGAAACTTAACAGGTATGAAAGTCGAGCAATTTACACAAATGAGCAATAAAAGTCTGTTATTGATCCTCTGCTGGCTGATTTGCTGTTCATTCTTATCGCGAGCCGTTTGTGTTTTATTTCTAAGGGTGTCACGATCCTCCAAATCCTCGATTCGATTACATTTTCGATTCTAAAGGCACGATTCGATTCGATTTTCGATTATGAATAATTAATTAATTAATGACCAATTAATTATTTGTAGCCTACCGTTTAAACTACCTGACCTGCATGGTCTTTGTTTTACCCATAAACAAATCATACAGTAAATGAATAAAGGCAAGATACACACATAATTACCACCTGTCAATCACTTTTCTGTGGGACTCGTGAATAGGCAGTGATCTGTGTCGTTATAATGGCGTCGGTAAAAAAGACGCACAGCCAACAGGAACCAGCCAACAGTATCTGAGGTGTTCGCTAAAACGACGAAGTACAAGTGAGTGAAAGATTGAAGCAGTCCTCTGACTGCCTGGACCTGCTGTCTCGAGCGCATGGCTGTGTGTGCGTCTGTGTCTGTGTGGTCACGTGATGTGCATTTTCAGAGGTAGGGAGGAAGGAGGGCTGCTCAGAAATGCTACACGCCAGTGTGGATGTCAAATCGTTGTCGTTCTAAAATGCCATTTAAACACAAAGACAGTGTAAACAGGGCCTGAGTGTGTACTTTTCGCGAGCGGATTTGCAACGGGGGCGGGCGGAGAATCGCGATGCCGGTGTTGTCTATCGGACGAACCGTACGTAATACGTACATAGCAGAGCTTGCAAAACTGTGGTGTTTTTTTTGTCGACAACACGAACGCTGTCAACATAACTCACTGGAAATCCAAAATGCTTCCACACCGGCGACTTCATTGAAAGAGGAGAGGGTTTAAGCTCTGTTGACGGGTCTCCTGCGTCTGCCGTTTAACAAGCACTTCAACAAGCCTGTTTTTTTTCCCGCTTGGCAAGCCAAGCTGACGTGACATGGGGGCGTAGCAGCATCGACGATTCTATTTTTGGATTCGATAATCGAAATTGAGCATAAATTTCGATCGATTTCGAACACCCCTATTTATTTCATGTGTTGTTTTCACCACGGTTTGTGTTTTTCTGTCATTTCGAGATGACACTAGCCTATATTTTCACTTTGTCACAGTTATTAAATCAGTGTGTCAGTGGCACAGTACAGGATACGTGTGTGTGTCAAACATTTTGGTGAACTACATTTGTTTGGGCTGGTTATATATTTGAAACAAAGAGAAAACGTTGACTTTAGCGATGACGAGGCTTCATTTAAACTGCAGAAGATGCCGTCTGACAACGAGGGGAAAACGCCTCACAGCAGCTGTTTTCCATCCTATTAGATGGCATTTCTTTAAATGATCAGTCCAGGAGATGCTGCTGATGGACAACAGGATTAGTTCAAAGTGGATAAAAGCAGGTAACAGATTAAAACTATTGTTTCAAAGCTGTCCATACATGACTGTTTACACGCATCAGCTGCCGACCGCAAGTTCTTTGCATTCTCCTTGCGCATACACGCAAAGCATAATGGGTAATTTTGCGTTCCAAGAAAAAGGTCTATATAAAACACTCTCTCTCATTATTCTAGCACTTAATTCTCTAAGCACTAACATTGCCTTTGTGTAATCAGCACTTGTTGTGTGTATTGCCTCCTCAGTTGTAAGTCAGCTTACTTTGGACAAATGCATCTGCTAAATGACTAAACATAAATGTAAAATGTCTCTTACCTTAAATGAGAAGTGGGATTGAAGCAGGTTTTGGTCACATCGGTTACGCTGGAGTTGCAGCAATCTCCGTTATCGTAATTGTAGTTCTCACAGTTGCACTCCGGATCGCAGACGCCATTTCCTTGTTTGCGCTCAGGACATTCAGTCCTGTGTTTTTCAGGCCTGGGTTTGCAGAATCCCGCGTCAAATCCAGTAAGCGTGTGATTGCATTCAGGATCGCAATCGTCATCGCCAACCTTGCTTATATCACAGTTGGCGAGCACCAGCCGGTTGTACAAGGAGGAATTGCTGACGTTGTGTACGGTCAACTCCCAGCTGATGTTGTACATGCTGAAGGCTTCGTTCAGATGCTGATGCTGCAGGTGAATTTGTTGATCCGTGACCGTAGGTTTCCGTTGAAAGTCGTCAAACACGTTCACGACGCGATAACGGACGGTTTTGGGTTGGCGAAAGCTCCAGAAGTGATTATAGTTGCGCACCACTTCAGTGTTATCGCACACTGTTTGTCCGCAAGCTGGAGGCTCCAGAGTGGTGTCTAAAGAGCCTAGTCCAGCACGGGGACCATCATCGGGAATTGGGAAGCTTCCGTCTTTTACTGCGAGCCATTTGCGCGCTGGATGTTCGAAGGTTTCCCGGATCACCAAATCCACCAGGTCCTCAGGGTCCTCCCGTCCATGCATGTCCCTCATGATCTGCCTTTGGGACAAGGCCTGTCGCCACAAACCCAAACGTTCCACGGAGCCTCGGTAGTTGTGGTTCAAGGCATTTCCACCCACCATCAGCACCTTGGGTTTAAGATCAGATCAATTGATTATGTTTATCTGTTTACTTGAAGTTGCATACAGCAGTGTTTCTAAATCCTGACCCATCTGCATATTTCGCATGTCCTTATTTAATACAGCTGATTTAAATAAATAGCCTATTAGAAGAGCCCCGTGCATGGACTGGCACATATTCTGGCAGTGTGCATTGTTTCTTAGTCCATTGTCCTTCATTCCTCTCTACCTGAGCACCAGAATCCTTTATTTCACTTCGGTTATTCATAAATTCTTATTTAAAGTCTTATACTTTTGTTATTTTTAAGTTTTTTTTCACCTTTATTATGACAGGACAGTAGAGAGTTCAGATAGGAAATCATTGGGAGCAGAGAGAGGGGAAGGATCGGCGAAGGACCTCGAGCGGGGAATCGAACTCGGGTCTCCGTGAGCACATTGGTGCTATACAGTTGAAGTCAGAATTATTAGCCCCCCTGAATTTTTAGACCGCTTGTTTATTTTTACGGAGAGCAAATTTTTTCAGCTCATTTCTAAACATAATAGTTTTAATAACTCATCTCTAATAGCTGATTTATTTTATCTTTGCCATGATGACTGTAAATAATATTAGACTAGATATTCTTCAAGACACTTCTCTACAGCTTAAAGTGACATTTAAAGGCTTAACCAGGTTAATTAGGTTAACTAGGCAGGTTAGGGTAATTAGGCAAGTTATTGTATAACGGTGGTTTGTTCTGTAGATTATCGAGAAAAAATATAGCTTAAAGGGGCTAATAATATTGTCCCTAAAATTGTGTTTAAAAAATTCAAAACTGCTTTTATTCTAGCCGAAATAAAACAAACAAGACTTTCTCCAGAAGAAAAAATATTATCAGACATACTGTGAAAATTTCCTTACTCTGTTAAACATCTTTTGGAAAATATTTTAAAAAGTAGAAAAAATTTGAAGGGGGCTAATAATTCAACTGTATTTCAGCGCGCAGTACCACTAGGCGTCGACACGACGCAGTTTATGAACGTTCGTTGGAGCAACAGATTTGGGAAAACGGCAAATCAACAAACTATGTTCGTAACGACAGAACTTGCAACCTTAGTTGGCTCGATGGTTTTGGGAAACACACCCCAGAGCAGTGGGGCACGAAGACCAGGATTGAGAAACAATGACATACAACACTGTCTTTTTTAATCAAATACTTTATCTTGTAGTCATCTATTAAAGTGACAGTTCACCAGAAATTTGCATTAGCATGAACACACAGCACTTGTTCCACCTCGCTAGTTAAAATTGCTTATTTCTCTAAATTTGAACATTTTAATGTCACTATTTATGATTAAACCTTACATACTGTGCATTTAATCAGTGAAACAACTGACTTATTAGTCAAGTAATCATTTTATTAATCATAAGAGCTGTTCATTGCTGTCCTGTCTATAAATATCTGACAATCCTGATAGTATATTCCTCACATAAGTACCGTAAGTATGGAAATATTATGCAATGTCAACATTTCCGAGTTCATTTAAATGTACGGAACTTTTCACTGAAGCATTGATTTGAATTTGTTTATCAACATGGGAGATACCACTTTAAAAAATAACCCTGATTTAGCTGTCCTCCTATAGTATAGTCTTCCAGTAAATGCAACAAGCTATGCGAGTTATCCTTGGCCGGGTGGACTTTCCGCAGTGTAAACACTGTGGTGCTATCAATAAAACTTTTGGAACACATTCGCCGGCTCAACATACAGCACTTTCGCATTGTTGGCTCAACATATGGCATCAGTTCAGCAACATAGGCTCACGAGGAAAAATGTGCCTCCACATGCACTTTCAGCAAAACCTCAAAAGCATACCTACAGATGCCAGATTAAAAAAACATGCGCAGGTATTTACATGGTACAGCATGGCACTTGAGATGAGTGCTCGGGTAGACTTGTGAAACAAGAGTCGTGGCAATAGAGCTCCAAATCATATGGAAGCACACTAAAATGTCATGTTTGCTTCAGCAAATGCATTTTTGTTAAGGAGGCCACACTCAAAAAAACTATATTTTTAAGTGCTTCTAAACATGTGTGCATTTCTTTCTTCTGCTTAACAGCAAAGAAGATACTCTGAAGAATGTTTAAGGGGAAAAGCAGTCACTGACATCCATAGCAGGAACAAAAAAACTTCACAATATCTGTTCAACAGAAGAAAGAAGGTCAGGTTTGGAATAAGTGGAGGTTGAATAAATAATGACGGATGTTTTTTTGAAGGAAGGGGGGGGTGTGGGGGGTGGATTATCCCTTGACCCCAATTGGTTAGGTTTATTAACAATTATTATTTACTAGACATTTCATTTCCAAATAGCTTGCAATATGGACACATTCATTCATTCATACATTTCCTTTTCAGTCTAGTCCATTTATTAATCAGGGGTCGCCACAGTGGAATGAACCGCCAACTTATCAGCACATGTTTTACGCAGTGGATAAGAGGTCTGCCGCAGGACCCGAGCAGATTTCGTACGGCGTGGAAATAAATCTCCGAATTAATCGCGGGAGCGGTCAGTAGCTGGTTTAATTTTGAACGAGAGCAGGCGGTCTAACAATATCGCTCCCGACTCCCGAGCGAGCGAGCACGCGTATGTATGTGTGTGTGTGTGTGAATGAGACAGCGTAATGCTGCGTTTAGCTTGTTTGTTGCTGTTTATATGTGCGTGTGTGTGTGTGTGTGTGTGTGTGTGTGTGTGTGTGTGTGTGTGTGTGTGTGTGTGTGTGTGTGTGTGTGCGAATGAGAGAGCTCTGTGCTGTCTGTTTGTGTGTGTGTGTGTGTGTGTGTGTTTGTTTATACAGACAGCTTGTTATAGGCTGTCCGGACTCTGTAGAGCTGGGTGGTTTTCGGTTTTGTTCTCCCACCGTATGTTAGTGGGAACAGGTGCGGCAGATAGAAAATGGGGCGGGGCGGGCAGCGGGACAACAAATGCTGAATATAAGCGGAAGCGGTTGGGTTCAGGCTAAAACCTGGCGGAAGCGGACGGGAGCGGGATTCAAAATTTAGTCCCGTGCAGATCTCTACAGTGGATGCTCTTCTTGCCACAACCCAACAGCCACACACTCTTGAACACACTCACATGCACTACGGCCAATTTAGTTTACCCAATTCCCCTAAAGCTTATGTGTTTGGATTGTTGGGGAAACCGGAGCACCCGGAGGAAACTCACGCCAACACTTGGAGAACATGCAAACTCCACACAGAAATGCCAACTGACCCAGCCGGGGCTCGAACCAGCAACCTTCTTGCTAACTTTTTGCTTATTTTCTAACTCTTGCTTTAAAACCTGACTTCTAGTTGATCATTTGGAAAAGTGTTGAAGGTGGATTTCTCTGATGAATCATCTGTTGAACTGCATCCCAATCATCACCAATACTGCAGAAGAACTACTGGAACCAGCATGGAGCCAAGATTCTTACAGATATCAGTCAAGTTTGGTGAAGGAAAAATCATGGTTTGGGGTTACATTCAGTATTGGGGCGTGCGAGAGATCTGCAGAGTGGATGATCAACATCAACAGCCTGAGGCATCAAGACATTTGTGCTGCCCATTACATTACAAACCACAGGAGAGGGACAATTCTTCAGCAGGATAGCGCTCAACATACTTCAGCCTCCACATCAAAGCTCCTAAAAGCAAAGAAGGTGCAGGATTGGCCAGTCCAGTCACCAGACATGAACATTATTGAGCATGTCTGGGGTAAGATGAAGGAGGAGGTGTTGAAGATGAATCCAAAGGATCTTGATGAACTCTGGGAGTCCTGCTGAAGGCTTTCTCTGCCATTCCAGATGACTTTATTAATCAGTGATTTGAGTCATGTCAGAGATGTATGGATGCAGTCCTCCAAGCTCATGATGGAGTCAGACACAATATTCATTCTGTCTCCACTGCAGCAGGACTTTATATTCTATACTGGACATTATTTCTGTTCAGTGACCAGACTTTAGTCTAAGCAGAGTCAGACCTTACTGTCCTAATCAAACCATTCAAAATCAAGACATCATCATATTTTATTATGCTCAAAGAAGCGTAATCTAGAGGCCTTTAATATAAGCCACTTCTGATACCAAATGATCAACTAGAAGTCAAGTTATTATGTGTCGTTCCTAAATCTTGGATAGACGACAAGACTTTTGTCAGGTAGTGTACACACTCAAGCATCACTACTAACAAAAATACAATATAAATTTGATAGTGTGTCAATTTCTTGAAAGATACGGTGTAAAATGTGCTAAAAGAATGAAACTCACCTTACACTTTTTAGTGAGTGGGCTGAAGACATCACCTGACTGCTCCCTGCTGACCGCTGTCTGAGCGCCGTTGATGTATAACTTCATGAAGAGGCCGTTGTAGGTGACGGCCACGTGAACCCAATGATTGGGCAGATATCGGGCGTTGGAGTGAATGGAGGCAACTTTATGAGCTCGATCCGTTTTCAGGGAGAAGAAGAAACGCGGGTCGCGGTTTCCCTGTTCACTCACGGATTTAATTCCCAAGAGCCATCCACGATCACTAGAGGCGTAGAAGCATTTGTCGAAGAGACCTGTAAGTGGGAAAGTACAATAATAAATACAGTTGAAGTCAGAATTATATATCACCATATTTCTGTTTAACAGACAGAACATTTCCTCAACACATTTCTAAACATTATAACTCATTTCTAATAACTGATTTCTTTTATCTTCGCCACGATGACAGCACATGATGTTCGACTAGATGTTTTTCGAGATTAGGGCTGCAGAAAATTGACAACGATGACCAGTGGCGTAACAAGGGGGTATGCAGTATATGCGGCGCATAGGGGCGCCACACATGGGGGGGCGCCGTTGTGCCAAAACTATTTTTAAAATTATCCTCATTAAAAGTTTCAAATAATAAAAATAAATAAATATGTTTTGTTAAAAAACATTATTTTGCATTTTAAACGAATATAATATTGTTATTGTTTAATTTAAAATCATTTAACACAATAACATGCAGTCCCACAGCCGAAAGTGTTCATGTAGATGTAACTGTTTAGATTTGTTTTTATTTTTATCAAAATAAACTGTCAAATCATACATAATGTCAAAAGTTATAAGATTAATCTGAAAATTTGTCTTCATTTATTATTAATTAATTAATATAAAATAAGAGGGATCACACAAAGTTTGAACCCGCATACCCCTCAGTAAATGTGTAGTTGCGCCCCTGACGATGACCTCAGGTGAACCTCATGTGCTCTATTGAGTGTTAAATGCTAACAATGTGGGTTTAAATGCCATTTTAGGGTGCTTTCACATGTGTAGTTCGCTTCATTTGGTCCGGACCAAGGGTAATAAATAGGGATGTAACGGTATTGTAAATACCGTCATACCGCAATATTAATTTTTTTTCGATATTACCGAAGTCGCATGATGGGGATGAAAAAGAGCCGGAAAACTCTAAAGCGGGTGTTGTCGCCGCAATCGTACTGAATAGCGGTGTTGTCGCGCGAGTTCTTATCAGCTGTGTTGTCGCGCGCGTACTGAATAGCGGTGTTGTCAGCACACTGTTCAGATTGATGCAGACATGAGACCTCTATCTTACTCATGGTTTGTCCTCTCAAGTGGGGGAAAGACAATGCACAACGTTACCCACTGCTGTCAACCTGGGCCAAGCCATCTCTCTCTTGTCCCAGAAACCTCAGTCCCAAATGAGAGGGTTTTTTTCTGTTGCAGGGGACATTGTAAATGCCCAGAGATACCAGCTTTTACCAGATTATATTTATATGATAATTTTCCTTTAAACCCATCTCTATCTAAGTGAGTGAGTGATTAAATGTTGAATGTGATGAGTTTTCAACAATACTAAATTGAAACTTTATTTTTTTTACATGGTTTAATATTTGTTTTTGTTATTAAAATTGATGTTCCTGTTTCAAAGCTTACAGATAGATGGCTAATTTGTATGTCATTGACACTTTTGGCACTTTTTTGGAGTATTTTCATAAGTTTTGTTTTTTCCTGTAAATGATTCAATAAATACCGTACCGTGACATTCATACCGAGGTATTACCGTACCGTGAAATTCTGATACCGTTACATCCCTAGTAATAAATGATACATTGTTGCATCTTCTGCCGTCTTTGGGTCGTTTTCACACCACACTGCTGGCTTTGGTCCGAACCAGTTGAAACGAACCAAAATGCAGTCATCTGACAAAATCCACATCTCTCATTGGCCAGATGTTGTTGAACATATTTCCTAGACTGCTTATTGATTGGTCAGAATTCACGTGCGGGAAAATGCCAGTGAACTCCCGCAGGTAAACAAAACCTTTTACTCTGGAGGGACGACTGCGCTGGCTGATTGTATCTCTGCTTTAGACAAACTATACATTACGAAAATGAAGCGCGGCCGCGGCTGGAAAACAGTGTTTAATGCATCGCTCGTCACTTCAGGAGGAGATGTGAATTAATTTAGCTAAACTGCGACATGGTCATCTTGCGGAAATATTACCAACAATCCATCAGGTAATGTTTTCCCCTCTCCCTCTCTCTGTTGGTAAAGCGCTGTCAACAAATATATTTCCTCCATATCCCATAATGCACAGCGCATCAGCCTACGGCAGCTGGATTAGTCCAAAACGCGCAGTACTTTTTGCGGTTGGACGGATCATATTCTCATCACAAACGAACCGCTCCAGGGTTCGTTTTAAAGCGTACCGAGACCACCTCTTCAAGCAGGTCTCGGTACGCTTATTTGTTCCGCTTTTGGTGCGCACTCTAGTACGATAGCTGCATTCACACCTGCCCAAACGAACCACACCAAAAGGGGAAACAAACTCTAGTGCGATTCAATCATACTAAATAAGGCAGGTGTGAAAGCACCCTTAGATTCGTCGGGGCTGCTTCAGTGGCGCTGCTCACTGCAGAAGTTGGGAATTTCTCAACTATTCAAGTGCCAACAGATGCGTCAGCCAATCAGATCGCTTTATGCAAATTTCCCAGCTCAGACAGTAGCCGACTGTGAACTTGTTTCATTGGCTGATGCTGCTATGACAATCGCGTCAGCCTCAACTTCAGACACGCCCTCCATCAAGTGTTGATGTTGGAGCCCCGTGTAAATGGGGCATTACACTTGTGAAATGGAGGGAGAAACTGATCCATGAACTGTGTACTGATAAAGTTTCTGTCAAGCTCTTGTCAAAGTCCTTTACATCAATAGTCTTTTCGGTCCCACTTTATATTAAGTGGCTTTAACTAATATGTATTTACACAGGTATTAATAGTTTAACTACTATGTACTTATTGTTTAAATCATGTATTTACTGTGTACTTATGCTTGATTAAATACATGTAATCACATATGTAATTACATTTGTAAATACACTGTTGACCGTCCCTTACACCTTAACCCACCCTTAAACCTACCCATACCACCAAACCTGTCCATAACCCAACCTCTATCCCCACTCATAAGCAACACAAGTGTTCTCAAATACATTATGAACACAGTAAGTACATTGTATTTATTTTGTGATGTCAGTACATAGTAGTTAAGGACACTTAATATAAAGTGGGACCGTCTTTTCTGATCCTTCCTTTAAGAAATGGCTGACGAATCCCCGTTGCAGGGTAGATTACTGTATTAATCATCAAAATGTTCCTTCATTAATGTTCACTCATCTTCAGTCGTAATCAATCCCACATACACACACTCGCACTCCAATGGCATTTGAGGGAAAGGCTCGTTCACGTTTTACCGGATCCGATTTTTTATGTTAGAGCCAAATTCCAAAATAGATTAAATTGATTTATTTCCTCAACATTCTACACACAATCCCCCATAATGACAAAGTGAAAAAAGAGTTTTTGAAATTGTTGCAAATTTATAAGAAATAAAAAAGCTGAAGAATCACATGTACATCAGTATTCACAGCCTTTGGCTCGAAGCTCTACTATGAGCTCAGGTATATTCTGTCTCCACTGATCATTCTTGAGATGTTTCAGCAGCTTCATTGGAGTTCACCTGTGGTCAATTAAGCTAATTGGACATGATTTGAAAAGGCGTACACCTGTCTATATAAGATCCCAGGGTTGACAGTTCATGTCAAAGCACAAACCAAGCATGAAGACAAAGGAATTGTCTGTAGACCTCCGAGACAGGATTGTCTTGAGGCATAAGGCTGGGGAAGGTTACAGAAACATTTCTGCTGCTCTGAAAGTTCCAATGAGCACAGCGGCCTCCATCATCCGTAAGTGGAAGATGTTTGAGCCACCAGGACTCTTCCTAGAGCTGGCCGTGATTGGGGGAGAAGTGCCTTAGTCAGGGAGGTGATCAATAACCCGATGGTCACTCTGTCTGAGCTCTAGCGTTTCTCTGTGGAGAGGGGAGAACCTTACAGAAGGACAACCATCTGTGCAGCAATCCACCAATCAGGCCTGTATGGTAGAGTGGCCAGACGGAAGACACTCCCCACCTGGAGTTTGCCAAAAAGCATCTGAAGGTCTCTCAGACCATCAGAAACTAAACTCTCTGCTCTGATGAGACTCAAATTGAACTCTTTGGAGTGAATGCCAGGCGTTACGTTTGGAGAAAAGCAGCCAGCTCTCATCACCTGGATAATAGCATCCCTACAGTGAAGCATGGTGGTGTCAGCGTCATGCTGTGGGGATGTGTTTCAGCAGCAAGAACTGGAAGACTAGTGAGGATAGAGGGAAAGATGAATGCAGCAATGTACAGAGACAACCTGAATGAAGACCTGCTTCAGAGTGCTCTTGACCTCAGACTGGGGTGACGGTTGATCTTCCAGCAGGACAATGACCCAAAGCACACCGCCAAAATATCAATGGAGTGTCTTCACAACAACTAGGTGAATGTCCTTGATTTGCCCAGCCAGAGCCCAGAACTAAATCCTATTGAACATCTCTGTAGAGATCTGAAAATGGCTGTACACCCTCGTTTCCCATCCAACCTGATAGAGCTTGAAAGGTCCTGCAAAGAGGAATGGGCAGAAATTCCCAAAGACAGATGTGGCAAGCTTGTGGCATCATATTTAAGAAGACTTGAGGCTGTAATCACTGCTAAAGGTGCATCAACAAAGTATTGAGCAAAGGCTGTGAATACTGATGTACTTGTGATTTTTCAGGTGTTTTAATTTTAATAAATTTGCAACAATTTCAAAAACTCTTTTTCCACATTGTCATTATGGAGGATTGTGAGTAGAACGATGAGGAAATAAATGGATTTAATCTATTTTGCAATAGGGCTGTGACATCAAGAAATGTGGAATAAGTGAAGCGCTATGGGTACTTTCCGGATGCGCTGTATTTGGTATTGTTTCATGTCAAAGTCGATACAAACAGGCAAAAGATCCGGACGAATGCTGAATCATTTAAACGACGCTGAGTCTAATCTTTTATTTAAAAATGTATAGTTTTAAACACGGGCACTTTCAGATTTAAACATCAGCTGGATGTTTTCATTCACTCAGAGCTGTGTTGCACACAGCACGGAAGATCATTTTCAAAAACCCATAATAGGGGCTCTTTAAGGGGTCTAATAATATTGAAAGCTTTAAAACTGCTTTTATTCTAGCCGAAATAAAACCTATAAGACTTTCTCTATAAGACAAAATATTACAGGAAACACTGTGAACATGTCCTTGCTCTGTTAAACATCATTTGGGAAATATTTGAAAAACAAATCTGCACAGATTCAACTTAGAATCTCCTTTTAATGTTCTACTGAAGAAGAAAAAAGTCCCCTACATCTTGTATGAGCTGCTGTAGGTGAGTAAAGGAACAGGACATATTCATTTTTCGCGTGAACTACCCCTTTAAGTGTCCTTGTTGTCACCTAAGCAGTCAAGTGCAGCATGTATCTCAGATCAGATCTGCTGTGTAAGTCAATTTATATCTCATCATAATGGAAGATCAGTGTCAGTTAAGCACTTTTCTTTCTTCTTTCCTTTGCTCTGACATGCTCTTGAACCATTGTTAATCATCTGATCACAGTAAACATTAGGATTCGCTGAAACCAAGACAGTATGTTTTTTGTTTTGTTTTTTTTTTGGGGGGGAGGGGAGGGGGGGGGTGACCCCACAGTCCAAACACATGTGCTATAGGGAAATTATCTAAATTAGGCGTAGTGTATGAGTGTCTGTGTGTGTGTGAATGAGTGTGTATGAGTGTTTCCCAGTACTGGGTTGCAGATGGAAGGGCATCCGCTGCATTAAGCAAATGCTGGAAAAGTTGGTGGTGGTTCATTCTGCAGTGGCGACCCCTGATGAATAAAGGGACTAAGTCGAAAGGAATATATATATATATATATATATATATATATATATATATATATATATATATATATATATATATATATATATATATATATATATATATATATATATATATATATATATA